AGCACTAGTGACCAGCTAAGTCCGAGGACCAGCTCATTAAGGAGCACTAGTGACCAGCTAAGTCCCAGGACCAGCTCATTAAGGAGCACTAGTGACCAGCTAAGTCCGAGGACCAGCTCATTAAGGAGCACTAGTGACCAGCTAAGTCCCAGGACCAGCTAAGTCCCAGGACCAGCTAAGTCCCAGGACCAGCTAAGTCCCAGAACCAGCTAAGTCCCAGGACCAGCTAAGTCCCAGGACCAGCTAAGTCCCAGGACCAGCTCATTAAGGAGCACTAGTGACCAGCTAAGTCCCGAGGACCAGCTCATTAAGGAGCACTAGTGACCAAATAAGTCCGAATTAAGTCCGCTGTTAAGTCCAGCAACAGAAAACAGCGGAGACTATAAGAACCAGTATAATTATTAAGGTGCAGGCATGAGCGCATGCCTCACATGACTGCCGCTTGCCTTCTCCCAGAGACGAATTGAAGTTGACGGCTTCTGTTGTACGGCTGGTGCTGAGGTGGATTAAAAGCTCTCAACATTTTCGTGGGTCCTTCAGACGTGTTCGCCCACCGCATACTGATGAGCAGCAGCTACCGCCGCGCTCAACGTGCTCGTAGAACGCTGCTCGCTTCTTATTTTTCATCCGTCACACGTTATTAAGCTGCAAACGTGATTAGTGATTTATATCGTATCTCTTAAGTGATGATTTGAATGACTCGCTTTGTATATGTTTACCTCGTACAGTATACACCACCGTTGGCTTTGAGAGAAATTTGGCGAAATCTTCACGTCACTTATTTCTGATCCGAGGACTCTGATGCTACGCAAAAACCAGGCGTCACGTGGCACGTGACGGACGTTACGTGCACGTCGTGCTGCTGTGTTGTGTGGCGATACATGCACGTCGTGCTGCTGTGTTGTGTGGCGATACATGCACGTCGTGCTGCTGTGTTGTGTGGCGATACATGCACGTCGTGCTGCTGTGTTGTGTGGCGATACATGCACGTCGTGTCAGGGCTAGCTGCCTGCCGCCCGGCGTTCTCATTTGAATTGCCGATCCTGAGCTTGACTGCGGGCGATGCTATCAGCTGACCCGGCCGATGCAGTCGCTGCCGCAGTGCTGGCAGCGACTGTACTGATGGCCTAGCGCTGGCACCTCAGCCTCTTAAAGCGTGTAATATACGTAATACTCCCCTTTAATTCACTTGCGTGTCTGACTGTCTAACTTGCCGATCCTGACTCTCGAACATAATTCGCTGATAGTTCACCATAGGTACATATACTGTAGGTACGTACTTTGCTCGTAGTGTCCAACCGTAAATATAAATCCGCCGAAGTAAGTTTCAGCTGTAACTATTTGTACGTGTTGAATGAGCTCGGTGTATTCAAGAAGGAATGGAGAATAAGAGCAATGTCGGTCAAAAACATGGTTAGTCAATAGACGGATTCAGTCACATGACTGCGTTTTCCTGTGACTGAAATTTCATAGAGAAGGTTAGTCGTACTACTATCAAAACTGTTTAATGATGTCTGTGGAGAAATTCAATGTGCTGCTGGATAAGCTTAACTATTTTATAGCAAAAAGATATAATCATAAAATATCATAATAATCAAAATATAAATTTCTAATTTGCATAATCCGGGCTCCTGAATACTCAACACTTTGAGATCGCGTACGAGTTGCTTCTTTTCAATTTCAGTGCCGTATATCTGAGAACCTCAAACCATGGTTCCGTTGAATTGCGTGTTGTTCATTTGGGTGCAGTCATATATTGCAGACAGGTCTCCTCACGAATCGCTGTCTGTGTCTTGTTATCAGCACCCTGTTGTCCGCAATAGACGATTTCGTAGCATGGCTCACTGCCACATCTATATGTCGGCGATATGAATGAGGAAGAGGTCAAGAGGATCGGGCCAAACACTGTCTTTAGGGCTACCGTACCGGTACCCCACTTTTTATCTTTGTCCTGCTGATTTTGAGCTTCCAACAACGACAGCTTGTATTCTGCCAGTCAAGAAGTTGTAAATACACGTCAATAACTCTCCTACCCTCTGTAGTCGTGATTTTCTGCATGAAGACCATACCAGCGTCAGCTTCATTAAAAGTTTCCACAAAGTTCAAAAACAACACGTCGACGCCAGCCCTCCTCTCTAATATTGGTAATGGTTTTAAAACAACTGTACCTCAGTAGAAATTTCTTCAGTTTTTATTTAAATGAGGTTCAAGGATCAAATTTGAAGTCAACTTCGTTTCTGGCTATTAATTGAACGGTGAAATTGAAATTTGATTTGATCCTTGAACCTCGTTTAAATAAAATCTGAAGAAATTTCTACTGAGCTACAGTTGTTTTATAACCATTACCAATACTAATTTGAATAGAATTTGGTGGCAATTCTCTAGTAACTGGGGACAAGCAGGAGCGATTTCGTCTAAAATCCTCTTGTCTTCTGTCAAAAAGCTCTCAAAAGCTCCACGTACTGTATACCAGCCTCTTGGCCTCCTTACTGTACCTCCTTCTCTTACACTTTGATTGCCTGTAGTTTTAGGTTTTGTCTCTTGCACCCCCTTGGCAGATTGAAATTATTAGCCCCCTATAACTCAGTGGTTCCCAAACTTTATCATGCTGGCGCCCCCTTTGGCTTCCCAGTGAATCCCTATAGCACCCCCCCCCCGACAGACACATATAAAAACAAACGCGTTTACTTGATCTATTATGGAGAAAATGGAAAAATTTTCTCACACAGTAATCACGCTATGCTATGCAGCAACAACTCTCAGTGGTCACGCATTACAGCATACGTATACAACAGCATACATATACAAGAGCATACATATATAATAGGAAACGTATATTAACCCTTAATGTATACAACATCATACATATATAATAGGATACGTATATTAACCCTAAATGTATACAACATCATACATATATAATAGGATACGTATATTAACCCTTAACCTTAACCCTTATTAACCCTGAATATTTGTGTCCCTCAGAAGAGACTGCAGAAGGAACTCATGTCGCTCCTGAAGGAGCCGCCGCCGGGCATGACGCTGGACGTGGATGCCGAGGACACGAAACTTACTGAGTGAGTCATGACGATGAGTGAGTCATGACGATGAGTGAGTCATGACGATGAGTGAGTCATGACGATGAGTGAGTCATGATCTCTTATACACATCTAGATGTGTATAAGAGACAGATGTGGGCCTGGGTACCTATGATGTGAGCCTGGGTACCTATGATGTGAGCCTGGGTACCTATGATGTGAGCCTGGGTACCTATGATGTAGGCCGTGGTGACTTTAGTACTCGATGTCCACAGCTCATTTATACGAAACTACTTACATGAGCGAGCCTCCGCTCACCGGTAAACCTCATACTCAATGTTAATTCATATGCAACTGTAGACATATTTTTTATTATTACAGTAAATGATTTTTCGTTAATTAAATGCAGTAGTAAGCTGGCTAACTACTCTCACCCGTTGGCGGTCGGCAGGTTGGCCACGATGTCGAGAAGACGTGCAATGTAGTAGCTCTCGAGGCCGGAGTAAGTCGTGATGTTCTGCTGCACCATGAACTCCGAAATGCTTGGGCTGCTAATCCTAGAATAAAAAGCACACATAATTTCTCGATTTTCACTTGTATTGTTCAGATAATATTTTGCGACTTGCGCTCACTTTTTTTGAGAACGAGAAACATGAACAAAAATTAGTTTTGTTCTGTACTATAATAAACTTTTTAGTCCATCATTATTCCGAAACTATTCATTTTCAGTCTTGGATAAAATATAGCTCAGACGAGTCCCCAAGTTCAGAATGATAATCCTGTTGACTGCATGGGAACGCAGACAAGACTCCGTATGCCCACCAGCAGGCGAAGGGCACCTCGTCGCCGCCGAGGTGCAGGTAGTGGTCAGGGAAGCGACTCGTCACCTCCGTGAACAACGCCTTCAGGAAGTCGTAGGTCGTCTCCTTCGACGGGTCGATGGGGCCGTACAAGCCGTTCGGGGACCCGCTGTATTGAAACATTCAGCTATTATGCTGTTTAAATTGCTCGAGTTGTAGGATCTTACTTCAAGTTTCCTTTCATTTTCGTCAACTTTCTCATCGGCATAAAGGAAATGAATAATGCGTCATAAAAAAATGGCACATAATCTTTTCTCAATATTTTTCCTAATCGACGAAAGAAGCATTCCAGATCATTTTTCATTTTTACTATCATAATAATAGTTGAGGTTTTCACAACATTGCCATATAGTTTCTCATTTTTCTCAACGCGAGTCTATTCCGAGGACAGTACACCGATGAGCAACATTACGCATCACGACTTATTTGGATCTTACTTAGTGTAGCATTCAGTGAGGAGGTCAGGCTGGCCATCTCCCCAGCTGCGCGTGTGGCCTGTCACGTTAGGTCAGACAAAAGAAAGCGGTTCAGTATTATTCATTCTAATCATTTATCGATCGCGCATTTCTCCCTGAATAAACTCAGCTTTCAGCTTGCGCATGCATAACATGAGCAAAAACATTCAACGGCTGTCGTACGATCTAGTACATCTGGGGAGAACGAACCTAAACAGATTATTAAGTATTTTTGTGCAACGCTACTTCATGGAATCTGTGTAGGCCCAGAAGTCGGCGCCTCTTAATTACTACCTCACCTGGAGTATCGAACTCTGGAATGACTCGAATGCCGCGGTCTGTTGCATATGAGACGATGTCAGCAATGTCGGCTGAGGTGTAGACTCTGTTGCTGTCCCACGCACCCATGGTGCTGAAAATGCGGTAACGATCCGTTCAAAACAATGAGGTGTCATTTAAATTTTATTATGGTGGTAAAATATAATTATCAGCCTTTCCCATCGTAGGGTATTAATCATAATATTACGAACAGCAACCAATGCTCGATCATTACCATATATATAGTAATTATTTGCATTACTGTCGTCCCTAAACGATACGGTTGAACTAAACACTACAAAATGTCGCGTGTACTCCTTCAACCCTCTAGGAGCATTCTCAAGTTCGTTATTTGTCTGCTCTCAATTTAATTAAAATGTATTTTATTAACTTGAGTTTTTTGTGTTCTTGGCTATTCTGACTTTAACCTTTTACCCACTAAGTTTACCTCTGAAGGAATTTTCGGACTTTGAAGTGCCTTATCAGCCTGCCAAATTTTATTCTCACTTTTTACATGTGCTTAATACCGCACAATATTTTTAAACATTTTAAGCAAGAAAGAGGTCACGCCGCGCAGTTAGTGTAAAGTGCGCCGAACCCTGAATGATGAGCTGAGTTCATGGCTGGCACATGACCAGTTGATTTGTTTTAATTCAAAATGCTACATTTAATGAATCAAATTATCATAATCATGCCAGTGCAAGCCTGCGTCTGATTTAATAATACCAATTTTTGTTATTTACCGCAGTTTTTATACACTGAAACATTTTTGTCGTGATCGCAATGCAAGTTTTATTTGATCTTCCACAGCGATCACCTGAGATCGGGGTAGACGTCGCTGACGTAGGGGAAGCTCTGATCGTCAACGATGTGCCAGTGCAAGACGTTGTATTTGTTCATACTCATGAGATCGAGCATTTCTTTTATTTTGTTCATGGGCAGGAAATGACGAGCTGTGTCGATCATGAAACCTCTGAAACAAGGATGATTAAACATAACATTGAAGTTCATTCTTACTCAAGCGCAGCATTTTCGATTATAAATGCCCTTGTCTCCCATCACAGCAAATTTGGTTCAAACCTGTGCACAACCTTGAAGTTCATTCTCACATAAGTACAGCATTTTAGATCATAAATGCTCCTGTCCCCCATCACAGCACACATGGTTCAAACCTGTGCACAACCTTGAAGTTCATTCTCACATAAGTACAGCATTTTAGATCATAAATGCTCCTCTCTCCCATCACAGCACACATGGTTCAAACCTGTGCACAACCTTGAAGTTCATTCTCACATAAGTACAGCATTTTAGATCATAAATGCTCCTGTCCCCCATCACAGCACACATGGTTCAAACCTGTGAGAAAAGCGCGGGAAGTCCATGATCTGCGTGGCGTACACGAAGTAGGTGCCGTCGCCAGCGGGGATGAGGAGCTGAGATAAGGACTCGAGACCTCGCAGGATGCCCCATACGCTCACCGCTACGATGCTGCCCACGCCAGGCTCGTCAGGACTGTCTATCTGTACCAGCGGTGTCAAAATTTTTCCAATTTTACAACACTTCTCTTTAAGTTCACTTCTTGTTTGTCTGTCTGTCTGTCTGTCTGTCTGTCTGCTACAAATCTTATAATCAAAATTTGACACACTTCTACTTATCCTGTCGATCCGAAATTTTGCACACTTGTGTAAACTTGGAGACAGTGCATGAATCAAATGTCAAAATAAATGATTTTAAAAATTAAAAAAAATTTCAATATTAAAAAAAATGAAAAAATAATTTTGTCAGCTACAAATCTTATAACTGATATTTGACACACTTTTACCTGTCTAATGGATCTGAAATTTTGCACACTTGTGTGAAGTCAGAGGCAATGCATGAATCAATTAATATAATAAAAAAATTTGAAAAAAATTATATATAAAAAAATTTATATATTAAAAAATTTATATATTAAAAAATTTAAAAATATATTTTTTTATTATTCGAAAATTAAATGAAAAATTCATTGTACATCTGTAAGATTGGAGACACTGGATTCTTTGGAAGTGTTGTCTTTAAAAAAAGTAATTTTTAAACGTAGATTATTAACTGTTTAACTCGTTAATGTTTGGATGCTCGTTTCGCATTCTCACGTAAAATATTTTAATCTCTTTATTTTTATTTAGCCTGTAAACGCTGAACATTTAGCGTTTATAATCGCTAAACTCAACATGGCGCAAAGTCTGCAGTTTATACAGTTTCTCTTGAAAGTGTTATTACGTTAAGCCTCTATCAATCGTTGATGGGGAAATTGTGAATAATTTGTGCAAAGAACATGAATATTTTATGCTCAAATCTACAAGCACCACACTACTTAGGAGCACAATAAGAACCCGTTAAGATGTGTCTACCGTCTCGTAAATGTAGCTTAAAGAAGTGTGACCATTCATTTCTGAAGATGAGTTGCTAGCCTAACCCGCAATTCTTATGACCTCCTTTGAATCTTATTGTTCAACAAAATGTATAAATTCCAAGAAATTGAAAGCATGTATCGCGGCTCGTAGTTATAGAACTTGACTCTGGCGAGTTACCACCTTTATTTCATAATGCTCGTCCATGTGAAGGTAAGGCGCGCCTTCGCAAGCCGCCATGAGACGAATCTGGAAGCTGGTGAGAGCCTTGCCGCTCACCCTGCCAGCATGGCGAGCCGTCGATAGCTGCTGAAAAACCCATTTGAAGAGGTTATCTCTTATCCAGTTTGATCAAATTGCACATGAATTGATAATCTCAAATACCAGTAATTATCAAGAGCAGCGCTGGGTTAAGCTGCTGGCACTATTTATATAGTTGGAGTTCCTCAAGCGCATATCCACAATACCTATCATATTGAAATATTAAGCGGAACTCAATCTTATTATTTGCGTTAATTCAAAATAGCTTCTGTGATGCCTTCAGTAAGGCATCGCATAATATACCTAAGATTATAATTGAAGTATACTTTATTGTTTACATTGTCCTGTCAACTTAGGTTTGATTGAAGGTGGGCACTTCAGGAGCAAAGCAATTTATCAAAATTATTTAATTAGCATCTATGATATAGCATGTAGGATGATAGTATGCTGGATGAATGTTCTGCCCCGAGTGATGATCTTATAGGCAATCATGGCTAATGAATAAAATAATCCTGGGTACTATCTACAGTAAGCAACGCCGTGGTGTACATGCTGTTATGTAATACTCTTAATGAGACAAATTATTCAATTAATAACTCACCGTGCTGTATTATCTAATAACCTTAATTTCATATATCTTCTCGAGGCCCGCCTACCTTGTTAGCGGGAAACATGATGGCCAGGTAGCGATCCAGCGCCCGCTGCAGCAGGGGGCAGGTTTCGTCAGTCACTGTAAAGCTGCACGGCAAATAACTTGCTTCATTTGTTGCTGGTAAACCTAATGTGTAGCATTCAGTTGCAGCAACTAAGGTGCTCACCACGAAAAAACTTCAGGTGATTCATTTTTATTACTTCACAGGGAAAGTTCTTAGTCACACTGGTGATAATAGGACAAGGATGTGAGCTCATGAGGCCGTCTGGATAAACGAGCTCAACAATCTCTTCAGCAACACTCGGCCAGAGGAAAGTGCACAATGTTAACTATTTATTGTCAATTTTGCTTAATACTAAATTTGTTTGGTTCTTAAAATATTGCCGGCAAATATTTTTTAAATTTTAAATATAACAAGTTGAAGAAGATTAAGCAGTAATATTACTGACGTGAATTGGTCTGGTGAGATGGAGAGTGTTGAGGTCTGCGACACGTGCATCTGAGGCTTGGGCCACACTTGCCCTACAGTGGGCACGATGTATGGATGGCCGCCAGACAGCACCTCACGTATAACGTGCACCAGCATGCACACCAACACAGCTCTGCTCCACGACTTCATTGCTAACAAATGTGCTCCCTAAACTGCAACTGCTAACTCAAGCGACGTCGTTAAAATCAGACAAATAATTCTGTTCATTAATGAGTTGAAATTGTTGAGTGTACACAATATGCGTCAAAGAATCAGATAAAATTTATATTCTTACTGTTTACTCATAACTTCATTGATTTTTTTTAGAGTGAAAAGATTTTTTATTCGGAAATTTTAATATTTACGATCGAATTGAATGAACTATTGTTCAGTCTTAAAATGCCTAGCAAACTACGGACCAGACAATAAGTCTAGCAGCTATCTCAATCAATCGTCAGCTATGGACAGACCGGGTTCCAAAGGCCGGGTCCCTTGCGAATCAAGTCACGAAAAGTTCAAGAATCGGCAACAGGCCATGGGCCTATTTCTTCAACGCCGCCACTTCTATTGCAGAATCTTGAAACGAGTCCTAAAAGAACCATGAGCAGCATTCGCAGTTTCATTTTAGGTATTTTTATTTTCCAATACTGCAGTCTGACTGGAGTTTAGCAAATTGGCTTCACAATACCAAAAATTTACTCCTAAATCTCCATTTGCACTCACGAAAAGTATACAAGTTTGATTTATTAAATTCCCACACATTCGTTCGTTCGAAACACCCAGCAACAGTTATATGGCTTAGAACAACGTACTTGTGTGTCGCACAGACCACTCAAGTAAAGAACTGCACGCCGAGCGATTTCGGGCCGACATGATACACAGTTAGATAACGTCACCTCTAATAGCCGCCTTGTAAACGTGATAGGTGCTAGCGAACATTATGAATTGCTTTAATAATGAGCATGTTAATACCCTCGCTGTTGATGCCTGCGGCAGAAATGTCGCAATTGAACAATTTTCGCTTTGCCTTTCCTTCCGATGCCGTTGACTGCAAACTTCTGGATCGGCACGCGATCTTTTTTGCACGCTGAAGTAAAAAAATCAATATTTTATGCACGATAAAGTATAAAAATCATTCCTGTTTTTCAACTTCACTTAAACCGCAAATCGTGCTAATTCTGTTTCTTGTTCTGCATGAATATGAATGGCTTAGACTGAAAACAACATTTCGTAATAGCCTCTATTGTTTCTAAATCATGTTTGAATATTACTACGCATTGCAAGTGAACCGAATTAAACGTATTTTATGACACGTTAATCTGTGCCAACTTCACTTTACCTATTAATGATGGCAAAATAAATCTATCATATGCCGATAAATTAACACATTTCTGCCTAGCTTTATTGCTACTGCAGTTCCTACCACCGAGCATATATGCGACAAGAGTTACTGTGTGGCGACCATATCTTGTGTACCGCATTTCTGCTATCATGTCTTATCACGAATAGTCAAGTGCTCGTACAATCTCCTCTCATGAAAGCCCTGGGCTTATCAATGTGGTTGTTTCTTCTGCTTTATTATTTCAGTTCAATTTTTTCCTTATTAGAAAACTCAGAAACGGAAACTAATTCGCAAGTAAAAGTCGATTTGTTTTTGAAATCTGGCAAATGAATTACATTACGCGGGTAATTTGTACCTCAACGAAATTCTAAAAACTTAATAGCGAAGAAAAGTTTTTAGTGAATTTGCGATTCAAGCAAACGAGTGATATTATTACTTAAATAAATTCTAAGTTTAATCCATGCAGGGTAATTTTCTGACTAACTTCTGCCATGAACAAGTCTCGGCAGCAGTTTTGTTATACATTTAACATGATCCGCAAGTAGCTCGGCACAAACATATCTAGATTGTCGAGTATTTGGGCTTTTATAACTAACATTTGCGTTATCGTAACTTAGATTTACGAGCGTCACGTCGTTACGAACATCTGGGAGCATTACAGCGTTGCCAATACATTCGAATACTCAATTATTGTTACGGGCACATTCGACTACAATAATGATTTCAAGTACAGCGAAAGGGTAAATAAAAAGTCACAATTTTGCAATTTTTATGCTTCCAGAATAGTTCCATCATATTATTTAGTAATTTTTCACGACAGTATTTTTCCATGCCATATAATATTTCGGTTCAAAGTTTAACACATTGACTCCGAAGTGGTACATATGCGTACCAAGAAGTGTATTTCTCCAGGACGTAGTGGTAAATAATTTAGGGTTGCCAGATAAATTAAAAAACTGCCAAGTCCGGGAACAAAAAAGGCCTTTAACTTTATATATACTAGTATATTTGTAGATTCCGGTGTAAAAATTTCATTCTTTCTTTGCAGTTTTGAAAATTTAATTAGGAAATACCCCTATCATAAATTTTAGTCAGCCGACGCAATTGAAAAAACTATATCGCTAAATTTGTCAGGAAAAAAGACCGTCTGGTGACCCTGTTTCATAATAGAACAAAAAATGAAATAATAGTACAAGATAAAGCAGTCGGAATCAACGTGTTAAGCTGCAGAATGACTGACTGCTTGTTTGAGGGAACGCTCGCTCTCGTAACTTTGTTACTCTGTAAAAGAATGCTAATGAATTATGGAAGAGTGCGTCTCCCAATAAAGGTTTGCCACATAGTGCGGCGAGTGAGTAAGAGATGCTGTATATTAAGACTTCAGCCTGCGCCGGCAGTGACTCGTCGGGAGTCGAGGCGTTATAAAAGTCCTTCAACTCGGTCAGGGCCCAGGGGCAGGAGGAGCTCAGGATTTGGATTATCGAGGATTTTGTACAATGAGGATCTATTGCATTAACGCCACGAACTGATGTTCAGTGGTTCATTTGTAATGAAAGAGTAGAGATGTATGTGAAATTCCCGAATTTATCGTAATTTATCAGTTTGTGAGCTGAGAAAGTGTCATCTGGTAGTTCCTTTTACGAAAAATATTTTGATGATATTCATAGGTTTGAAAAGCCAAAGCATTGATTCAGCTCATACATTTTGATGACGCGTTAAAATAAAATTCGATTGTTAGAGAGCTGAGTTTATTAAATCGTAACTATTTTAGATACATAAATATCAGCTTTCATTTTAATTCAATTGAACACAATAGCCAAATAGGATCGATTTGAATTTACTACAATTCAACTCGTCGCAATTTATCCCAGAGAGCTTATTTTTATCCCAGAGAGCTTATTATTTTGTTTTCGTTGAACAAAAATTTAAATGCATTGTTCAGCTTGCTGAATTGGAGAGGACATCTACTGCGAATTTTCGTTCGATCGATGAACAATTTGGCTCAAGACATTAAAACTGTACGTATATACTTCATCTAAGGTGTCGTCTAAGAAGGGGTTGTTGATGAACCACTCGGAGACGTGACCCTGTCAACTCTCGTAGCTTGATTTAGATGCAGCACCTAGAAAGACAGAAAGACGACCCAGAAGCAGGCAAGGCAAAGCAGAAGCAGGTCTTTTCACTCGTCAGAGTTGGTCTGCTGTTGAGTAGCTCGTCGCCTCTCCCTTGCACGGCAGTCCACTACACGCGATGCTTCATCCTGCAGCCGTTAAAATTATATTTTAACCAATCAATTGGGCTTGGGAAAAGGCTAACTCTTATATGATCTAGACCTGAAACAACGGAACAATTCTAAGTTGGCTGAAATTTTATTTGTGAGAAAAGGCGTCGTTCAAATTTCAAGTCGATTTTTTTTCAATTATGTCTGATGGGACTTTATTTTTTAGTGGCAAGTGACAAATTTAGTCTTGAATAATGATATCACGGTATTCTTTTTCATAAGAAATAAAAATATTATCGGCATTCATTCAAGTGAAATTCTAAAGAAACTCTTATACATTCTTCATTCGTTCATGTAAATGTGAACGGGCTTTTTAGATCGATGTTGCCAGATAACGAAGTCTGATTACGGCTGAGAAAGCAGCATCTGATTAAGGCAATTATGTACAAACAACATTCTTCTCATCCACAGAGTTACTTAAACCCAAGATATTTTGCAAGCTGTTTTCGAGAGTGCGTTCCGAGCTGTAGAGTGATATCGTATCTTTTGGTCTTTAATTAGGTCGGACGAAAATCTAATGTGATTTTTCCGGGTTACTACGAGTTTAAAATCGTATGAAAAATTTTATTTCTGGAGTGGTTCTTAAAATTTTTTTTTTTTGGTTTAAACAATATTTTTCACAGTGTAAAAATATTTTTAATCACGTAAACATTTTTCATCACTTTACGGTATTAATTTTTTTTTGTCATCGCGTGGCTGATGACGAATCGTACCGAATGACGTGATGACGAATCGTGACGAATCGTACCGTCACTGATGACGAATTTCTTTACCCTTTTATGATGAACATCATTTCTGCAGTTACTTCCAATCATCTGAATTGTGCTGAACATTGTACTAATGGCTAATTTTGTAATGTTTCTGAGATTCGTTAAAGATTCTCTATAGCATTATTGAAGTGACGAACGCAAGTACGGCATAACATAAGCTGTGAAATAATCTCTAGCAGCACTCACCTGTATGAGCTGAGTCATGAGAGCAGCGAGGGCCTCAGCGTCTGTCCCACATTGTCCCTGACTAGCATCGCTAATGTCGCCGTCCACAAGACCAGAGGCCACGTCCACTGCCGCCTCGTCTCTACGGAGCGCACCGTTCACTCTTGTGGCCCTGGCTTCTAGTTTAGCTGAGCCTTGTTCAGTTTCTTCATTCGGTTCTGTCTGCAAACTCAGTAGGGAATCGCTTTCTCCTGCGGTAGCTGAGCCTGTCCGCCGGTTTATGTTGTAAGAGATGCCGTCAGCTAATTTTTCTAGATGCTTGACGCGCTCAGGCGCGACATTACTCAAGTGCCCTGCAGCGCCCGCACCCACGATGCTGTTACCCAATAGAGAAGGCAACGGATGCGACCAGCGTTGGGGGAAGAATTGAAGCGCTGACAGCGAATCTGATCGCTTCCCTAAAGAGCCGCCTGCTCCCCATCCTCGGTTCCAATGTATCTTGGAAAATGTACAGCATGATTAGGCCATAAAATTAAAATAGATTATAGAGTAGTCATCGCGAACTGGTCTTGACTCGGGCTTTGTCTTTATAATATATAAAATATTAGGAATGATGATTTAGATTCTTAGGTGTTTCTAAATTTTTAATGATATGTATACAGGTGTATCTGCAGTTTATGTACGTAATTATGATTATGTATGGCCAGGATTTAGACAAGCACCAAAGTCATCTTGGAACAACGCAGACAGCATATATTGTGCGCCAGAGCAGCTCCTGGCTACCGATAAAATTAAATGAAGCAATTTTATAGCAATTTCACTACTGAGCATAGTAACATGGGCAGAGTTTTTCATTTGTTTTTATTCTGACAAGAAAACCCGCTTTGATCGTCGACCACATTGTTTATCAATGCTAATTGAAATTTCTTCATAATTTTTCATGGGATATTTTCCGACAGTAATTCCGTCGATCCTGCTCAAGCCATCGGCATGATGCCGTGGCCTGTTGCCTTTGCCTCGCCAAGTCAGCAAAGCTGAAAGTGTTTTCTTAAATCTTCGAACGCGATATCATTTTCTGACGATTTTTTTATCTAAATAGTGAAGTAACAAAATCTGTAGTACAATTTGCTAAAGAAGTATTTATAAAGACATCTTATAATGACCAATACGAGTATATAGAGTTATTCCTAGATGTTGTTAGATTCAAAGCTGATATTATTATAATATTAAAGGGGCGCTGAGTAATAATTACGTTGGTTTTCTATGTTGGAATAAAATGTGTAGCATCATTTAACGAGATATAGCAGCGCTAAAGAATGCGCTGAGATTGAGTGTGATATTAAAATTACATGTGGGAATAAGTACCAAATTTTACGATTTATAATATCAAAAAAGATTTAAACCCAGATTCCAAGTTATACCGCGCTCAACTTTGTGAAATGTTTGCAATTACTCGTATTTACTGAGAACCCTCGGGAATTCTTTATTTATCAAAATTAATATAAAATGTGGATTACAAGTGCAAACGATTAGCAAACTAAATTTACATTGAAGCATAAATCGTCAAATGAAAACTAATAAGAATGAAGTAAATATGGGGCAGACAAAACTATCTATTTTAAAATTTCGAAGGGATATGAACTGTTGGCGGCATTTAAACTAGGCTTTTGTTTAAAAATATACAGGAATTCCAAAATTCGCAGGTCAGAAACACCGGTTGTGGACTCCAAAACGTTTCCTTCATAAGAAATGGCCAATCTTCTGGCTGTTTTCTTTACCTTTAAATTCTTTATAAACTTGCGATTTAAGCCAGCAAGGGATCTTAATACTTAAAACGTAGTATATTGATTAATACCTGTGTCACTCATAGAAGAAAAATTAAAAAATAACATGCGAGGAAGCAAAGTTTGCGTCATACTTCAGCGTGTGATCTATTGAGTTGATAGAGACTATTTCGGAAAGTTCTCGACGAATCAACAATTAGCCACGTATTATGGGGCAATCTTTCTGTCGCGTGGGCGCCGCGTGTGTCGCACCTGCGAGTGTGTGAGCTGCAGCGCGCAAGCTGCGGCGACCAGCACGGCGAGGAAGCTGCGTACGAAGCTCATGCCTGCGCTCAATTTCCTGAGAGAGGAAAAGCGGAACTTTTAATCTAATAAATTATAAAATAATTGTCAATTCCCTAAACTGTAACAGTCGTTATTGTCACCCATGAGCCGGCCAATTAGAGCGCTGCTGAGGAAGAAGGACATATATGCCACAATGCTCGCATTAGTCGAGTGCTATACAAGTTCTACTTCACATTTTATCCAATTCTGAGAATTTGATTATTCGGTCACATTAGATTCCATAAAAGCGGAGAATTATCAAACTAAGAGCAAGTTAGAAGATACACAGCAGTCAAGATTTTTAAATACTTAACAATGTAACCTTAAATCGTGAGCAGCTCACACCTGACCATGTTGGAATGCCTACAAATGGCAACAGTAAAAATTTTGGCTGTAAAATTGTTTATTGCTAATTATGACTAAGCCTCGAGTCAAGGGCTGTTAGGAAGGATGACGTGACTCTGGTCAGCTGATCAGTGTCAGCAAGCACCGGCGTCTGACGTTGAGGTCTCTAACTGACAGCTCTGCTGACTTATTACGTGTCATCTCTTCGCTAATGGCCATCAGCAGTCGGCCCTCAGAAGCAATGAGATAACACAATCCAGCAGAGGGGACTTCGAGAGAGAGAAGTTATAACGGAGCTCCTCAAGCCGACAGTGGCGGTCTCTTGATTCCACGTGTTCATCATTAAATTTGGAATTGTTTATGATGCTAGAATACCTCATGGCGAGCCGTTCTCTCAAAGGCAATGTGAGAAACAAAAAATTTTCGTTACTGAGGACATACGCGCCGTGTCGTCTCTACAAGCCCTAATGTGGGCTGCATGCGTTACTGAGGACATACAGGGTCCGCTATATTTATGGCAACGCATGTTTTTTGTTATTTCTCAATGAAACAAACAGGTGCACCGTTTTTTCATTGGGTGAGCTAGTAGCCAAGAATTACCTAAAAAATTCTCAGACATATTTATTCAATATGACCACCCTTATTTTTAAAGACGGCCTCCTATCTACGCGAGAAAGCTTCATAGGAGACACGCAGCATTTCTTGAGGGATCAAGTCCCATTCTCGTGTCAATTTAGACATCAAACTATCCAAAGAATCATGAGGTGTTCTGCAGACCCTACTCTCTAAAATAGCCCACACAGAAAAGTCGAGAGGATTCAAATCAGGGCTTCTTGAGGGCCATTCATTTTTGCTAATGAACGCTGGGATGTGACCCTGAATCCAGTTTTGGGATATGTTTGAGCCATGTGATGGGGCAGAGTCTTGTTGAAAACTCCATGGTGAGCCGTTGAAATGTTGACGGGCCCTAGGTAACAACACAGCTTCCAAAATGTCCGAAATGTATCGCTGACTGTTCAATTGCACTTCTGAGAGGACAAAAACGAATGGGGACCTTACAGTGGCGGTTACCGCAGCCCAAACCATCACGGACATGGGATTTTTACGTCGTGTTGCTGTTCTGGTTGCCACAGATCCATTTCGACTCCAAACTCTGTCATTTTGACGGCTAACGCTTTATTCAATGTCAAATTTGTTCTCGTCTCTGAACATCAAGTTGGGCAGCGTGCCATCCTAAATTAGATCCAGAATGTGCTGGCATCTTTCGAGCCTCGTTCGTCCATGACGGTCTGTTAGTTCATACCTTGTTTGCATCTTGAAAGGGGAGGTTTTGAGTTCATCTTTGAGGACTCTATAACGCATTGATGTCTGACGGACTCCTGCTCCTCCTGCAGCCAATTTTGTAGCTGAGCGACGAGGGTTTCGCCTCAACTTCTCCCTCGTGTTTTTGACCAATTGTTTTTTTTGGACACTTCGTTTCCTTCTTTCACCAGGTCGATTGCATGTTTCACCAGTTTCCTTGAATTTTTTTACCACCTTCCACACAGTTTCACGACGAATTTGTTGGAGTTTTTTTTACAATGACTGAATTACTCTCGCCCTTTCCCTGATGGATTACAATTGCATTTCTATCTAATGTCATAAGTAATAGTAAAAATAGAAACAAATTTATTTTATAGCAAACTCCGTTGCCATAAATATGGCGGACCCTGTACACGCCGTATCGTCTCTACAAGCCCTAATGTGGGCTGCGTGTTGGCTACTCAGATGGGCTTGCAATACGCACTTAAAACCTTATGCATAGAGAAGCAACTCTAACTTGAATGAGTTGGCCACATTTCAGGTTTTTACTTTCTAGTCAGATTAGTTTTAAAGTTTGGAAAATTCCGCACTTTTACCAGCGTTCACGTAGGCAAAGTACCGAACTGTGCAAACTGCAGATAAATTAATGGAAGATGCTGCACACTCTTGCGTTCAATATCATCATTTGAATGCATCATCCAATCGTTACCAAGAGCATACGAATAAAAGACTTAGCAGTTTATGTAGTTTTAGATTTATTGACAATAGCTGGAACCTTTAATGGTAATAGCAATGTTATTGAGTGGATAAATGAATTTTACACAGCACGTTGATTTCATAATCAATTGAATTAGTTGGAGTAAACCTCGCATTCACTTGGAAAAACAAAACATTGCTGCATGATAGTACTGAGTGTGTAAACAGTAAGTTGAATATACTCTTCTGTTTTTTGCAAAGTTCAGAGAATTTTCTGATATTTCCTATAGTGATACATTTTTAGTTGAAATAACATTCACGGGTTTAGCAATATTGTTTAATTGCAATTTTTATTTCACAAATCATTGCTGTGCGAGCCCTGAGTATGAAACTATGTCGTAATTAGCACCTAGAACTTGCTCGTGATCTACGCGAACCTCGCTTGTTAAAAGCGTTATATTATGGTTTTAAAACCATAAAAATTAACAACTTGGGGACTGCAGTCAAATAGAAAGGCTACGTAAGTAATGAAGGTTACAGTGGCTTAACAGAATCAGGGCTATTGTTTGATATCTACTGTAATATAATGGCCTTTTTATTGATATCCCCATCATTGCCCAGGTTTTCAAAGAGCTGAGTTATGATTGAGGCAGCATGAAGCTCCTGGACTGAACGTGGAAGAGCTAGCGCGCGTGAGCGAAGCTCGCTTACCTGACGTGACGCTCCCGCTGCTAACAGTGACGTGGCGGCCACAACTCCGCGGTTTATGTACGCCGGCGTTCGATGCGCAACTCCTACGTTACATTGCCATCTTTAGGATCAGCGAGTGCCGCGGGTTTAATTTTCTTACAAATAAGATTTTTATTAGCTGGCATAAGTTAGAAAGTGTGTAAATTTTTCTAGTGGATGACGAAAATGCTAGTCCTGAGTCATGGGAGTAATTGCTGCCATGTTGCGATTGATAACTCATATATGAATTGATACGGTAACTTAAATTTGTGAGTTCAAATCCTAACTAATGAAATTTAAGTTAATAACTGAATAATTCTTTAAGTTTGGATGCAGATATTGTAGCAGGTGACCTTGTTATTTGCTCGTTTTTCTTTCATCTCAAAAATAAATTCCGTAAAGTCTGCGAGCTCTTTGTCTACGGCCCATGAATAATGGAACTGAAGTCTAGCATGTCAACCTTGGCATGACGTGCAAGACGAAGTCTAGCATGTCAACCTTGGCATGACGTGCAAGACGAAGTCTGGCATGTCAAGCTTGACATGACGTGCAAGACGAAGTTTAGCATGTCAAGCTTGACATGACGTGCAAGACGAAGTTTAGCATGTCAAACTTGGCATGACGTGCAAGACGAAGTCTAGCATGTCAAGCTTGACATGACGTGCAAGACGAAGTTTAGCATGTCAAACTTGGCATGACTTGCTAGACGAAGTCTAGCATTTCAAACTTGGCATGACGTGCGTGAGTGACGATAAGTTTGAACGTGTGGACGGGACGTGTGGACGGGACGTGTGGACGGGACGTATGGACGGGACGTGTGGACGGGACGTGTGGACTCCAGAAACACATACTGTGAGGCGCTATTAAATTGCCCGCCACGGCGCAGCCTCGCAGCAGCGACAGGTTGTTCTTCATTACTGGGTTGAATTCATCGATCTTTACCGACTGAATATCACAAGCGACTTGTAATTGCCGTCTTTGAGGTAGGACGATTGTACGCTCGTCGGTTTCTGCCATGGGTATCAAGTGGTATTTAGGAATAATTAGGAAATTTCCATGTTCATGAGTGAGGGACCTAATTTATCTACTTCAATTGAAATCAACCCTGACCAGCTGGCATGATTACCACAAGGCTCATCAGTGCAGTGCTGGGAAGCGTCATTCCAATTATAAAGTGTATATCTCATAATTTGTGAGGCAAATCTCTCAATTATTAAGTGTATATCTCACTTGAGGTTAAAAGATCGAGCTAACTCTGCTTGACACTCACTCAAATAACTATAGGTTTCATGAGCAGAAAGAATTAAGTCCTTTTTATTTGCGATTGTCATTGATGACTTTTTTCTCTGAAAATACTTACTTGTGTAAGAAATATCGTTATTTCATGCTACTAGAACTAAATTGTTGACGACCTGCTATCAAACTGTCGACATAGAAGTGACAGGAGAACTTTAAAACAGGTCTTCCTTGCGTCATTTTCATCATCATCTGCAACGCTGATCATCATGCGCCTCTAAAAATAGTCACAGAAAAAAATTCCAGGCGCTATCATTTGTTCTATCGGTTGCACGCGTGCGCTCTAAACGTTAAAACATTACTGTACCATCACTCAATTAAGTATTCAATCTTAAAAGTGTGATATAAAAGCTTATGAGAGATTATATGAAAATAGAGGGAAACCATTATCTCACTTTATGAAAGAATCTCAACACATCTTAGTAGGGTACTGGCTGTTACAGGTTCTATCATCAGTAATTCTAAATAATGCAAGCGAGTTCAATATAAAAATGTAGGCGAGATATTGAGACACGGAACCAATTAAGAGACACTCTGAAACGACAGCGGTGCCGATCTTCTTGTCCCGAGAGGTGAGTAATCCTCTGCGTTGGGATAATTAATGTTGTGTATTAAAAGGAATGGTGGAGGACGCGGTGTGGCTTCATTGGCAACGACAAGCTTTCGTTTGTTCCCTCAATTTGAGATGCATCTTGAAAACTCATGAAAACTTTCCAAAGTAATTTTTTTCAAAACTGTTTTTATTAAAGTGAGCATATATTGTTCATTTTGAGGCCAGCTCAGTAAAATTTGAAGATATAAATGCATCTCGGAATTATGGTATCATGTAATGCGAAGAATTTATTGATATCTCTACGAGCTCTCAACTTAACCACATAATGCCCCTCGTGCTTTTTTACTCAGTAAAATAGAACGCTCACCTCACAATGATATTAAAATGATTCTCATCATCTCGCTTAGTTTCACGAAAGAGTGAGAAAAATGTCAACAATGGCTGAGAAAACTGTCAACAATGACAGAGAAATCTGCCAACAGTGGCTGAAAAATCTGTCAACAATGGCTGAGAAATCTGTCAATACGTCTCATTTCTGGTAGGGTGACCACAGGTTCATATTTACAGAAGCCCTTCCTTTTTTGCTCCCACCTCTAAGCTTATTATTCATAATAGCAACATTGTGATTTGCTTGTGCCATTGCCCGTCGAGCTCCTGTTTCTTCAATTGCATCATCTTATGCGGTTCGCTGGTCGTTCATCTAGATTCGATTTCGATCTTCATAGTTCAGTGGCACGCGGGTGCCTGCTGTGTGAGGTGGTTAGACTACGTGCGCTCCGAGCTCCATGACAGAACCTAATGGCTATTTTTACTGATCATTATGAACGTTCAAGAAGGTTGATTATGCACAGTACTTTTTTGAAATTATAGTTTCCATTACAGGTTCCGTTAAATTGCAAACATCGTATTTGATCCATAAATGAACTGCAAGGGAGGAAAATTAGGCGATTTGATAACAGAATTTAGATGGTTTTACTTCGGTTTGCTTCTATAGGAAACTTTATCTGTTGTATAGAATTGGAAAGGCAATTGTATTTTATATTCCTTGCCTACTCTATACTTTAGCCTTTCTGTTGTCTTTTTGAACTGAAATAAGTCACGTCGAAAGTGTCATTAAATTAAAATCTACATCGATCCATTCCGTCTTACATTGAAAAATTCGGTGAAACAATTCAGGTGCCTAGGTGACTAGAGTTACAGAGAACATAGTCATACATTATTTGTTCTGGATAATAGTAAATTGAAGTATTATTTGAAATCAGAAGAAAATGAACGAAAAACAGAAAGCGAGTCGCCACTCGACTGATAACTTGGACAAGATGAATGTTGCTGCCTCCGAGAGAAGTGAGTAATGTTCAGCTTACTCTTCACAGCCCAACCCGATAAGTCATATCTTGTGTACGTATGTATTTACTTATCACGCACAGCAATGAGACTTTCGAAGGTTTAAATGCAATGCGACCTCATATGTATAGCTAGGAAATGTTCTTTCGCCATATCATCTGTAAAAAAATGCTAGCTCATGTTCTATTACCACATCGTCTGTATTGCTGGCTCATGTTCTATTACCACATCGTCTGTATTACTGGCTCATGTTCTATTACCACATCATCTGTTTTGCTGGCTCATGTTCTATTACCACATCATCTGTGTTGCTGGCTCATGTTCTATTACCACATCATCTGTGTTGCTGGCTCTGATACAGACGATGTGGTAATTGAACATGAGCCACTGGCTCATGTTCTATGACCACATCGTCTGTATTACTGGCTCATGTTCTATCACCACATCGTCTGTATTACTGGCTCATGTTCTATGACCACATCATCTGTATTGCTGGCTCACGTTTTATTACGTCATCGACACGTGGTTTGTGTTGCAATCATTTCATGATGCACCTGCTGGCAGCAATTGCTCTACTTGCGACATGCCGGGGCGGCAAGACCGCCCGAATGTCGCCACGCGCGCAGTGCCCACATGTGAACCCCACACACTTGTGGCTGCTTCATTCTCAGAGAAGCGTGCCTCAATTTGCGAATAACAATACCGCCTCGCCTGTCCTCTGTCCTCGTCTGAGTTTAGCCGCGAAGCTCGTCTGCAGCTGAACCACCAGATATGCAGCTGAACCACCAAAATGTCAGCAGCTGAACACAACTCGCCTGCTGCTGAGCTGTCAGCAGCTGAACACAAAACGATGACTCAGCACCTTAATTATTACATGGACCTCTTTACTTGTTTGTCACTTCGTGACTTTGAGAGGCTAACGTCGCTTCTTTATTGCCAGCTTCGGCGGGATGGACACGCGAGACTTCCGCCTCTTGTGGCTGATCAACTGTTTATGATTTGTAAAACTTTCGATAACTGAGACCTTCCACCTCTTTGGTGATGTTCATCTTGAGTGAGACAGCTAAATTGCTGAAGTGCTAGTTAACATGAGGTCGCTAAACTAAACTAAAGTTATTACATGAGCGGCGAAATATTTTCTACAGACAAAAATGGGATATTATTTTTACCTCCGAAATGAGGTGAAATTGAATCCTGTTTATTCAATAGAATAAACTAGATTCTATTTGTTCTATTTATTTTAACGAGCATGACCGTATATGTGCTTTTACTTTAGAAGTTGATAAAACATTTTTACAGCGATTACTGCCAACTTGTGGTGAGTACTACCGACGAGTGCCATATGAACGTTCACCTCACGTATACGTAATAAATGCGTTTGTTTATCTTGCAGGTCGGCAGTTGCGGTCAAGAGCCCTTGTGCTATATCTCGATATGGACCACAGAGACCATATTTTAGAATGCCTTGTTTACCCAGACGAGTTTAGTAGAACTGACCAATTATTATGTGTAGTATCAAGACTATAAAGCTGCCGGCTCGTACAGGCAAGAGCATACCGTAATTTGCTCTACGGGAGGTACATCTATTCATTCCGAGTTCTTATTGTGTTAAAACAAATATTGGGTGGGAGTTTATAAATACATACGTGCTATAAATAATCTTCCAGAGATTGTTCTACAATTTTGTTGCATCATTGCGTATGGATTTGGAAGTGAATGCGTGGTAGTCACAGAGAAAATGTATCGATTTTATTATTTTATTTTATTCGGTGAAATTTAATTTATTTAAGTTTATTTAATTCAGTGGAAGTTACAGCATTTATTGTTCGTAGTATCTTTATTTTAGACGTCGCATGAAGCAGTTCATTCATTTAAATAATCTCTTAATTATTTATGAATGTTTGCAGTGATTTTTTGTGTGAACACAACTACAGTTTTTCTGAAGTTTCATTTATGAATTTCCATCGTACAGCTCGGATAGAATTTTATGGAACTAAAGAAGCAAAAGTGACGTTTAATTATGCATTGGTTTCGCGCTATGCTTTCAACGCTCTGAGCGGGAGCAATTATTGTCAAATCAACGAGTTTTTAACCTGGATAAATTACGGAGATTTTGTGGGGGTTGCCAGCGTGCATTTTAGTTATTCATGTTATTGTATACACCGGCGGCAGCGTGTTATTGTGCATGTTATTGTATACACCGGCGTGTTGCTCATATTATTGTACACACCGGCGTGTTGTTGCTCGTGATATTGTGCACACCAGCGTGTTATTGCTTTATTAGAATAGAATAGAATAGAAGTGTCGGCACTGAAGAAATAGGCCCATGGCCTTTTGCCAATTCTTGAATTATTCGTGACTTGATTCACAAGGGATCCGGCCTTTGGAACCCGATCTTTCCATAGCTGACGATTGATTGAGATAGCTGCTGGACTTATTGCTGGGTCCGTAATTTGCTAGGCATTTTAAGACTGAACATATGCTCCTGCATAGCTTCGTCTAGTCTGTTTTTGAAGATGTTCATACTCGGAGC